CACTCTAAGACCTCTTTCTGATGCACTTTTGTGAATTAGTTAAACTAAACTATTATTAATTTTTGCTTAAAAATTGCAATTAAGAACAAGTGCTTTAACACATATATTTTGCCACAATACTTCACTAAAAATTTCCAGCACACTGTCTCAGAGCCTTCTGTACATTGTAAGTTACAATTTAACTATGATTCCTTTCACAAGAACTGATTAATGAACCTATTTTTCCATTAAACAAGACACGTTCTATTACCTATTCAATTATTCAGGCATAAATTACAAATAGCTTGTTTTATCCTGGTACTAATACAATTGGTTTTGTTAAGATAAGCCTTTCCTAAGTAAGAAATTCCTTGCCAGTTTCAGGCAATTTTTACAGCTAGCTTTGTCTCATACATTAAGGTAGGACATGTGCTATTAATCCTTGATTAGTTTTGACTGCATTCACTTTAGAACAATATTGCTAAGTGTATGAAGGTAACAAGCCAGAAACTTCTAAGAGAAAAGTAAAGTCTGAGAGCCCATCTTGTGCGTGTATGTGTGATGTATAATCAGGACAAATTCAGAACAGAGGCTCCGGTCACACGGGCAGGAAACTGCGTGAGGGAAGCGTGGCTGTTTGCCCCGGGGCAAACTAATGTGCAGTTAAGAGATCAGACCTCCTGTGGAGGTACCGTGGAGGTACCATGGAGGTTCCGTGGGTAGGGAGAGGTGCCGATCACAGGACACGCCTGCGCGCAACAAAGAAGCGTGCGGTGCGGCAAACTGGTTTTCTCTTTTTGTGTACACGACAAATGCGCATGCTCCGCTGGGTGCGTGTGCGCATCCACGGAGACTTGGGGGAAAAACAAACCTTTTTCACAAGGGGACATGGGCAGGCACTGGATGCCACCAAAAACGCGATCAGACGTCCGCCCTTGCCCCGCGGTTTCCGGAAACTAGTACCTCCGAGGTACTAGTTTTTTGCTGCATGTTTTCGGCAGGAAGCCTCGGTTGTGCCACGGAAGCGCTACGCTTCCCAGATGTGCCAGTGAGATCGCGCCCGGAAAATCCACCTGTCTTCAGTCTCTCTTGCGTGGCTAATGTTCCGTGTGACTGCAGCCAGAGAGTGGCTTTCATAACAGATTTCAGTGTTTGACCAAGCATTTCTAGAACTTCCTGACACAGCACTCTGCCCAGGATGAATCCAGGACTCTGATATTTTTGGTCATTCTGCACCATATGGCGATTGCATCAAAAAGTGTTGAATTTGCTATGGTATCTCTAAAATGACTATAGCATGGATGAAGTCTTTAATAGGACAGTATTTTGCATCCCCTATAAATGGATGGATGGAATTTTGTGGAGAATTGGCACATGTCAGTTGCAGAGTTACAGATTTCAGAGGCAGTCATTCAGACCTGACAGTTAGAAGGCCATGAACACAAGAGACCTCAGTGGCAAACAATGTATTCTTGTTTATATTAATGAAGGGTGTGGGTTCAAGAGTCTCTTGCTCTCCTACTAGATGGCCATCTACAAAGTTATTGGGTTGAGGAAATCAAATCTAGAGCATGCTGAAGGACAGAAACTAAGAGCACCTTAACGAGCCTGTAAGCATAATGGTCCAAAAAGATCAACAGGAAAATTGACTCTTGAACACACAATATACAAAAATAAGGCAAATAAACTATGGAACAATTATAGTGATTTCTAACTATTTCTTAACTATTGCAATCCTTGTAACATTACAATTAATTTTCATGCAACTGCATCATCCTATTTAGAAATTCAACAAACTGTACAGACATTAAAAAACCCAAGGCTCTGAACAGTTCTATACCTAATTACTTGTTCACTGTAGCAAATAAGAGCATATTCTCCTCTGAAAAATAATGCTTATATATGGAACCAATAATTATAACATCAATAATTCGTTGTGGAGTTCCTTTGAACTAAGCTCCATCTTCATATTGTTCGATTTCTGAGATAGACGACAGCTTACAGAAAATTCATGACAGAGCTACAAAGCATTTGAAACTGGACACTGTACAGCCTTAAGTACTATTTTCTATGACAGAAATAAAAATAATTAAAATGAATTACCCTAATTGTCCTGTTAGAAACAATCATTACAAAATTAATCTAAAGTCTAGACGAGAGAGAGAAATCCCACTATTTAGCTACTGCATAGAAAAAAATTACCCAGTCACTGAAAGATGACATGATATAACATGTTATATGTATATACTATGTCTAGAATGAGAGTTACTTTCAGGGTCACTTCATTCTGGTACATCATTTCTATACTCTGTTTTTGAGCTTACCAAAGTGTAAGTATACAGTGCTAAAGTAATCAGTGTCGTCTCATCATCATTGTTGAGTTCTCATGCAGAAAAATAAGCCCACAA